AACGCCTTTTCATTCAAAAGGCATCTTAAATGTTTTTTGTTCATTTCAAGTAATGATCGTGTCAATTTCTATGCTCGTGAAGGATCATTTCTTATTTTTCCTCGCGACATATTTCAAACTGAATTGCCTTTAATCTGCGCAGGTGTGAAGACATGCGGCAAGAACAGAACAAGTGCTGTTTTCTCGTGATTAGACAACATGGCCGACTAGCTTCAAAATAACGTGAGACGAATTGTTGAGACGAATAACGTGAGATTAAAAGTACAATGCACTAAATGGTACAAATTTGGAAATCGTTATGGCAGTGTTTATTTCAAGTTTTGAGTTACACTGGTCCCCCGGTTTTGCGATTACCTATGAAACAAATGTAATGAAGTTCCTAGTTATATGCAAGAGCTATCTCTAAGCACGCGCACGCGTATTGAGGGAGGTGGAAGTGGCGAATGGTGGCCGACTGGTTTCCGTTAAGGATGTAAGCGATTCGCACTATGTTACTACACGAATAACCGAGTATGAAGCTTGCATCCCATTAAGCACATACGCATCTGGCAGTCATCCACCATACATACCCGTTTCCCGTTAAATATCCCGCTAAGCCATAGGCTGGATCAGCCGGGAATTTTTGCTAGCGATTTTACAGGCATCCATGAACACCGCAAGACCAGTTAAAAATGTTTATAAAAGGCTGCATCGCCTTTCCTGCGTTTTCAAGGAGATAGCTCAATCGGTTAGCGATTGCAAGCCCGCCGCGCGCTGGTTTGCCGTGGCAAGCATGTTTTTGAAAGAATTTGCATGACCATCGATGGCCATCTAACCAACTAAGATCATCAAATACGTTTGAAAACATGATGAAGTGAACCTTGGAAATTGGTTCAGCAACCATCCCGGGTCAGAGATAGTTATGATGGGCCTGACACTGACATCGAATAACTGAACAATGACGCCGAAATCGAGAGTGCAAATGTACGTGACACAAACATTACTTCGCAGAAAAGGATTCCATAGCAACGCAAGTAAAGCCAAAATGCACACAATTAATGCTTGTAGCAATAATTTGCTCACATAAACAAACAACGGCAACTTGCGGCGCGTAGAAGTACCACAAGTGAGTCAGCTGTTGCTTACAGCGGCACTTCTGACGCGGCGACTCTGCCTCTGGCTCTGACATAAAACTTTCCATGACGCAACAGAACGATCACGTATTAGGGACAATGTGTACAGTTGCATTGTGTATTTGCATTGTGTGTGTGACCAATGTGTACCAATTGTGTACCAATTCCTTATCCAGAGAAACCTTTTGCTGTTAAACACATAACAATACTTTACAATTGAGCTTTTTATCTCAGTTCGTGCCTACTTCAATATCTTCAGGCGCCCAACATCAACATCAACAGCCAAACATCATGGTGCCCAACATCATGGTGCCCAGGTGCCCAACATCACAGCCCTTTATCGGCGCAAAAAAGATCAGAAGGCAAGAGTTTGGCGTGGGGTTAAGGAGTGGCTTCGTGTCCGCACCAATGCATGGTGACACCATTCCAGCCGATATGAAAGCGCAGGGGGCAGTCTGTTCAGCGAGACAATGACCGTGGCCTTTCATCAGTGGTTGGCGGCCGGCCTATAAAAGCGAAGGCACAGTGGAAGCAGGCATCAGTTTCACTGCACGCTCGGAAAACAAACACAGCATGCAGGCATGTGCTTGATGAAAATTGGGAGGGGGGGGGGGGCGGAGCTTGGTGTGAAGCTGGGGACTTTTTTCATGAGAGGCATCCTGATCGAAAAAAACAAAGATGCCGAGCAAAGGGTGGTTTATTAATAACATACTTTCTATGGTATTGCAGGTCCTTGTCGTTGCCGCTGTGCTGGCTGTCGCCGCCGCCGCCCCAGCTCCGGAGGGCACCGGACTACAAGCCCGCTCCGGCCCCCTACCACCCGGCCCCGTCTTACAAGTCAGCTCCTTACCACCCCGGAGCCCCAGTACAAGGAGGAGGCAAGCCGTTCGCCTACGACTACGCAGTCAACGACCACTACTCTGGAGCCAACTTCGCCAAGAAGGAGGAGAGTGATGGCCACAACACTCAGGGATATTACTCGGTGGCTCTGCCCGACGGCCGTGTTCAGCACGTCAAGTACGTCGCTGACAACTACGGAGGCTACAACGCTGACGTCACCTACGAGGGAGAGGCCCAGTACCCCGAGTACCACCCTGCTCCTGCCTACAAGGCTGCTGCCCCAGTTGGCAAGCCCGTGTACAAGTCTGCGGCATACTAATATTATGCTGATAACGACCACCTATTTACACGCATGCATGTTTTGTTATGATGTTTCCTGATCGGTTGTATTTCAATATAAGGTACTGCTCAGATTTCCTTGGTGTTACTGAAGGCAAGCAGTTCTCGTCGTTGGGGCAAATGTACGTGTTTTTGATAGTGGCGCAAGCTTCGCACGTTCCTCAGTGTTCCACAATTACTTTATTAAAGCAAGTGGTGATCTACTGCTTCGCCACGAAAACACATCGCTCTGAGCACCACCCCCCCCCCTCCCCCACCCCAACCCCCCCCCCCCCGCCACCGCTTGCAAGGCTGCAGTCCCCACACCACAAGATTGTCTAGAAGTCTGCAGGACAGCTCTCTCATTCTGGCATAAAAGCCTGCTGCATACTAGTCAGATACTGCAAATGACCTGCTCTTTGAGCGCAAGAATGTTGACATGAATGTTGAATGTGTGATACTGTTGTGATCCGAGCTGTTATATATTAAATCAATAAGTTCCTATCCATGAGGTTTTTACACAAGCAGTCATAATTTTTCTGTTGTGTGAATTTCAGCGATACGGGTGCGACAACCATAGGCAGATCCTGGGGGGGGGGGGGGGCACGGGGCCATTGCCCCCAAAAAACTCTGAGAGTATGTCTTGGCCCCCCAAAACATTGCCAGAACTTCATAAAAGTTTCGTCTACTTACCGTCTGTTATCACCATTTGCAATAAACCCCATCTGACCAGTTGACTCTTGGAAGTAACATTTATGTTACGAGCTTTGTAAACATGAATACTATATATAGAAGATTTAAAGCATTTCGGTGCTTGAATGGTGTCCCTACTAGGTACTCGCGAGAGGCGCCATGTACCGGACCTCGCTTCCCACAACCAGCCAGCTGGCCGACAAACGCCCCCCCCCCCCCGCCCCACAAAAAACTCTAGGTTAGATCCGCCCCCTGGCGACAACCTACTTGAGCGTTCTACAAAGCTAATGACGATCACAAGGCGTAAAATCCTGTTTTAAGAGAATGTTCTACAGTTGAAGTTGTTGAAGCAGGGCCTCGGGTATGATGAAATAAGCTCACTTATAGCTACTGGCATGCTTTAAGTTGAAAAAGGTTGCTCCAGACTACACAATTTCTCTGCTTAGTAAATATGCTCCTGCATACGTCATTGTTTGATTGCGTCATCGTACCTTGCACGACATTGATTGAAAGCCCATTGGCGCCCGTTATTTGTGGAAATGATGTTCGCCAACGCCAGATATGAATGACTCAACAATTATATATTTGTTGGCGTTGGCGGCCCATCGCTAATAGAATGGCAAAAACTTTAATGTCATTGTTATGACGCTACGAATGCCGGGGTGACCTTGAAGTGATCTTCCAGAAAAACCTGCACATCTTCGGGGGTGTATGGCTAAGAAACTAGACAGGTTTAGGTCTTAAGAAGGGCATGGCAGTGAACTGTACCGAATGATCTCCGCGTTAGCTATTTCGGTTCCAAGTCACATACAAATGTCGAACATTCCCTTCAAACAACGACGGTTTTCATGAAACAAGTGTGGAGGGGTGAAAACAAAACTTCTGTGTGACAACTCGTCAGTCAGATAAACGTGTTGATCACAAGCAGATCTCGTTAGTCCAAACATCTGGTAGGTGTGACACCCTCTCAGCCTCATCAGCGGTATGGACCGGCAACGGCTAGTCCACGACGGCGAATATCGGGCAGCCACCTTCCTTCGGGATAACTCAGCCACGGGGACGAAGACTGGCTTGGCGACCACAACTGGGACGGCTCGGCGATACGACGAAGTCCGGGAATATCCGGCCGTCAAGATGAGCGGCAAGACGTTCGGCAGTGAGGACGGAAACAGAGGCGTCACACAGCGTTACGGACTTAATGGCATGTATAAGTTACGAAATGTGGCATTTTTAAGGAAATAATTTCGGCAGATATAATTATAACCATCGAATGCATCCAATGTTTTTATAACAGGTAAGGAATTGCGGCTGCTGCGGCACGCTTAACTAAGTTTTAAGTGAGGCTTTGTGAGTTGCGTTCGGCCCCAACCATCGCCCAACGCTCACCACAACCTCCATGTTAAAACACCCGCATGCTGCTGGGATACGTGGGACCGCATAATACAACATATATACGGGAAGAAAGGCAGCATGCTGTCCGATATGTTGTCGAGCTTTTTAAGGGGAAATACATGTCATGAACGTCATTACGAGTTTTGAACGGGTTTGGTTTGGGTTGGGTGTCCCTCTAACAAGAGACGAGATGCTCTCAGCTCTCAGACGGTCGCGGGTCAGAGGTGTTTAGTAAGACCATATGCTGATGACCATCTGTCAGGCAGTTTCAAAGTAATACTTTCACAGAACACCATTTGTATTGGTAACAGATACTTTGTTTCCGGAAAAATATTTGAATTTCTTTGCAATCAACCGAAAAATTCAGAACCATGTTATGACGAAACATTAAAAGCCCTAACAATCCATGCCACGACATCACTAGCTATCAACATAAATGCTCTTGTAGTCTTAAGTTTCGGTTTATGTGAACGTCGTTTGTCACGGCCGGATCAGACATATGGGCGGTTGGAAACGTACAGTCGCCTCCGTCAAAACAGCACAACTCGACTGAATCCTGTTATTGGAGTGACACAGTGAACGAAATTAAAAACACCACGCTACACGTAAGAATATATTTAAATGGGCAACCTTCCAAACCCGTGACTAATATGTCGCAGGCTTATATGCCGGGGCGGCATTGCTGTAAGCAGACTTGTGGACGGACTTGTAGGCCGTCCCAGCAACCTTATAGGCAGGGGCGGGGTAGTACTCGGGGAACTGGGCCTCTCCCTCGTAGGTGACATCAGCGTTGTAGCCCCTGTGGTTGTCAGCGACGTATTTCACGTGCTGAACACGGCCGTCGGGCAGAGCGACCGAGTAATATCCCTGGGTGTTGTGGCCATCGCTCTCCTCCTTCTTGGCGAAGTCGGTGCCGGTGTAGTGGTCGTTGACGGCGTAGTCGTATGCGAACGGCTTGGCCTCCTCCTCGTAGTTGGGCCCAGGATGGTAAGAGGCCGGCTTGTAGGAGGGGGCCGGGTGGTAAAGGGCCGGAGCGGGCTTGTAGCCCGGCGTCTCCGGAGCCGGGGCGGCGGCGGCAACAGCCAGGACGGCGGGCAATGACGAGGACCTGCCATGCCGTAGAGATTATTAGACGGTTCAGGCAGTCATTTAATCAGAGCAGTTTTGCTGCCACACATCTGTGCAATTTCAGTCACATCGCGAATCCCAGAGTGCGCTTGTCTTGATGTAAGCTCTCTAGTAGCCAACAGGGCACCATGCCAATGGTATCATTCCAGCACATACCTGCATGGTGTGTTCTGATGGCCGGGTGTGCGGTACAAGTGGTGTCTGCTCCCTTAGTATTTTCGCTTTTATAGGTTGGCTGCTAACCACTGACAGACGGTCACGGTCAGATTCCAGTGAACGGACGCCTCGGTATCACAGGCTGTGCTGACGAATTCGCACGGAATTCCTGGTACACGCCCGCCTCCTAGAAGTTGACTATAATGCGATCCATGACGTTGTATATGGACAGATCATCTAATTTTTACAGGTGAGTTGGGAGATGAATACTAAAGAACATGTGGTTTATGGCGCAGCAGGTTTGTATCAATCTTTTGAAGCAATACCCTGAACGCAAAGCAATCATGCCAACAATTCGTAGCTCTTTGTTAGATCAATACACGCCATATTCCCATCCTCAACTGATAGGTGCTCTGACCGCGACATGTCACGTTTAAGGCCCATCAGATCGCATCTAATTTGCTTCATTTTTGGCTGTTTTTCATCCAAAAGTGCTGATAAAGTGGGTCATATCCGACAAGAGTTCAAAATCGGGGCAATAGGTATGACATAAATGCATAAGAATGAAAATTGAGGTCGGTCATGTCATTAAGATGTCCCACACAACATTTCTCAAGAAAGCACAGGCGGGAACGGAAGCTGTCCTTCGGAGCAAAGGCATTTGCATGTACTCTTTTTGAAGTGTTTTGAAGCTAATTGACCTCTCATTTGACTTTTCCAGGTATGAATCGTGCCCGGCTCAAACGTACGGACGTCACACACATTGGCATGCGTCGTATCAATTGCGGATTGTGTTGCCACTCACATGATTAGGCTTAAAATGACCATGTCCGGATTGGAGGTAAGCAAAATTTCGGTCCTACGCATGAATCTTAGCTTCAAGTCTTATCATCCCAGACTTATGATTTTGTTATTATGCACACATTTATTTACTGTAATAATTTTATGGCTCAAAGCCTCCTTAACCACGGTGTCCATGCTTTTGGCATGTTGAGCAGCTATGCCGGCAATGAAGGGTGAATAAAAATTACATGTAACATAAATGTTTTAAGGTCATATACACATTTTCATCAAAACGTTGACAGCGAATTCCAGCCGTTTCTCACATTACTTCAGGCTACGACATGCGATTAAATGTGACGTTACGAAACCAATTCTTAAGAAACTATATCACCAACTGATGTCATGAAATGATTTTGAAAATTCGTGAAGAGGGACACGTAATTTCGTTAGGGAGCGTTTTAAGAGAGTGTTAAGGGGAATGTTCCACATCTGTATGGCGTTTTGAACTGAAATAGCCATCTTGAGAACTTTTTGATGCAGTTCACGGTAGTGTCCTTTTTAAGACCCAAAACGATCTGGTTCCTGAGTTACACGCCCGCGAAGTACGAAAAGTCTTATTTAGAACCTATTTCAAGATGTCCTTCTGTTTAATGACGCCATAGAAACGTCATTAGATGCCCGTAATATTACAGGCTGTTTTCTGCTTATGGTCAAAACAGCATGGCCGCTGGCACATTCGCAAAAGCGATGATGCGGCATGCATGATACAATGCGTGGAAGATGCTTGGCTGTTAGCAAGATTCCGCTGTTGAAAAGCGTGTCGCGAACGTAAGCGTGAGCACTTTCGGGTTGAGCGGCACTCGTCGTGAAGGGGTCATTTTTTCTTGTTCCTAGGCCACAGGTCAATGTTATGAAAAAAACACCACTGTCTGCAAAAAAGTATGGCACCCAAAAAAAACGGGCACTCTCCCGAAAGTTGTAAAAGGGAAGACGCGACGGCAAATCTGTCTTTTTTCCCCTGCCGGCGTTTTTTTCTTCCACTGACCTATCTCTTACAGAGAGCTCGGTTGACGCCTTGTGAACCGGAACACAGAACCTTGCACGGGTTTATGGGTATGACATTAGAAAATTATTAGGGAAACATTACAGTAATTATATATATATATATATATATATATATATATATATATATATATACATATATATATATATATATATATATATATATATATGTGTGTGTGTGTGTGTGTGTGTGTATATACATATTTCACTAAATGTTTCACACATATTTTACCACAAATTTAAAGTTTTAACAAAAATTGTGTACAAAAGAACAAAAAAACAATGTACAACGTCTTGAACCGCATTACCATGAACCTTCCTTGGGATTTGTTTTGAAAGGAGGGCCCCGGTGAAATCCGGTGTTATGACTGAGAATCTGTGTGGAAATTGCGAGAAAACCTGCAATTTGATAGTTCCGTGAGCTGTGCAGGTGTGAGATCACACTTATTTTACAAAATAGTGTGCATCGGTGCTTGAAATGTGTGTGATCACTGTTGGTGTGTGCCAGTGGCTTGTATTGATCTTGATGTGATAGGGAGTGTACGTGCGAGGTACTTCTGAGAGAGAGCATTATTTTGGTATTCTTTAAGCCTACTGACACCCAGTTAAATGCGATACATTGATGCCTGCCTCTAGCTTTATGTATGTGTTTGTACATGACAAAAGAACGCTGGCATACTAATAGAAGCACTAGCACTTATGTTGCAGGGGTGTACAAAGGCAAGCTGGTATTTCATAATGCACATGCTCAGTGTATGCTCACATTACAGGGCTTTGCACAATTGCCTTCCCTAAAGAATTCTGAAAACACAGTACTGTATAATTACTAATGCACATTGTACTGTCTTCACAAATTTTGTATGCAGGCGAGCATTGCTTGCGACTCATCAATGTCATAGTCACTGCAACTTGTGTAAGATGCTTGGTGCTGAGAAAGGTGAAAAAGTATTGCTGTTGGTGTCTTGGATGAGACTTAATAAAATTTTATCATCAGCCTTGTGTGCAGTGGCAGCTTTTTCCCCTCCTTGCGATTTGCTCACGCAACCACGACTACATTCACTTGCCATGTTTCAAGCCTTGTGCAAGGTCGGCATGTTTGCAGTGTCATTTCACCACATGTAAAATTGTCCTGTTATTGTTTTTAGTAAAGCATCCTGATGACTGCAGCATGTTGCATGACCATAGAAGTGGAAGGTGTGTTTGCATCTTTCTGACCTACCTTTTGTGGATTCCCAAAGCAGGCCGAGCAAGTGATGCCGTTTATTGGTTGTCTGCTTTGCTAAAATAGTTTGTATATTGTACCGTGTGTTTTTGATCAGTCACGAGTCAGATGGAGAATCAGTACAAGAGAGGACACGTGACTCATCTTTTCATGATGGAATTTATTATGAAAGCAGCATGGATTGCAACTACCTATCTATCAACAGCAAGAATGTCATTGCATCGCAATGATTATATCAGGGTTCGTTATTAATTGCATAAATAATTCTAAGCAAAACAAAACAAATTTTTGGTAGCCCAAACCTACCATCTTTACCATAGCGATAGCAATGCTTTGGCAATCAATTTATAGCAACGTTACAAATTTATTAATTTTCGCATGGCACCGCATTTCCAGGCACAAACAATAAAGAAACTAAGTACTGTGCACATCACATGATATCAATGTCAGGACTACAGCACTGCAGGCAACGATGGGTCAGCAATAGAGTATTGACAAAATTATCAAGAGCATAACAGCAACAGCAGCAGCACAACATATCGTGCATTCACATGAATAATCTGCCATAAAAGCTGGAGATCGCTTCGTTGCGAATGTCCAACAGCCTACCAAAGCTTTTCTTACGGCCAGCACCGAGACAAAAAATACATAAACGAACCACCCACTAATCCATCACTCGACCCAGCCCCCGCGACGAGAACGGCCAGCTGGCGTAAGCTTTCGTGTGTTTCGAGGTATTCTTTAGGTCTGGCTGCCAGATGGTGTCAGGTATTGCTGTCGTCACAAAAGCATTCCATGACGCCTTCAAACAATGACGTAATGAGGAGTATTTTTTAAAACTTTGAAATTGTGCTACGTGGCGTTGTTTTTAAACCTTGGAAGCTTACCAATAGTTACAAGTAAGCTTTTTCCATCATATCTGATGCCTACCTCAATATCTTCAAGTGTGGAACATTCCCTTTAATGGAAATGTCTGCAGTGGAAAAGTTTGCAACAAGTTGGGAATAAATGTTACCTGCTTATAGCATATTTCTACGGAAACTATGGCGGCATAAGACAGGTAAAACTGCTTCATCGCTATCGATTCATCCTCGCTAGACGTTAGCGTGACGTCACTGGTGCCAAGACTTCAATGTGCGGTGATTCGGTAGTCTCCGGACGTAATGCTGAGAGGCGAACGGAAACTAGGTATATTCTTGTAGATAGTGAACAAGCCGTTAGAGGAAGGTGCATATAGCCAGCGAGCCAGTACCATATAATTTTGCAGCGATTATGATAATAAACTTACCAGGCAACCGCAAAAACGTCGCAGACAGCAATGGCAGGCAAAGCATATTCACACATCGGTGTTATACGCAAAGGGTCAGAGAGCATGGGGCTGCATGATGACCTGCCAATATGATTGACTGAACACCTGCCAGCGTGATTGACTGAAGACCTGCCAGCGTGATGGACTGATGACCTGCTAGTGTAAATGACTGATGACCTGCTGGTGTCACTGACTGGTGTCTTGCTAAGGTGACTGGGTGATGACCTCCCAGTGTGCCTGAATGAGGATCTGTCAGTGTCACTGACTGATGACCTGCCAGGGTGACTGATAGATGACGTTTTAGTGTGACTGACTGATGACCTAACAGTGTGACTAACTGATGATCTGCCAGTGTTGTCAAATCGCATCCAAATATTTTAGAGGAGCACCGACGCTCGCACGGAACACCTTTCTCAAATGGCTGTCGACGATGTGGACATGATTATCAGATGTGAAAAACCGTCTGAACCTAGTCTTCAAATCATGTAGCCTTTGTCTCGTGAATAATCAGCCATCTGATCAAACCAGGCCGAATATGTATTTTTGGAGCGAGTGTGACTCAAACACTGCCCCTTCGTTTCAGGTCAACCGAAGCTTAATGTGTGAGGATTTTCTCAAAGGTCTGCCAATATGTAGCATTACTGCTGCGGACGAATTAATCCAAGCATTGTTTACGTTCTGCGACGTATACCGCAGCACTTCTGGAACACGACACCGCCAGTATCATCAGATACCTTAGACCACAGCTGTGTCATCTTCCCAGCATACATTGCTTGTTGATGTGTGTATGGCAACAGAAAGGACTAGCTCACGGAAAAACCGTCTTATCAAAACGTTCCTTGTATATACATCGCATAACGGCACATCACAACGCACAGTTTCAAAACGCCAACACGACATGCTCGCTTCTAATACGTCACATCCGTCTTGAAGCTCGGGGCAGCCGTCTTGTGGGAGGACTTATAGGCAGAGGTGGAGGACTTGTATCGAATGGCCTCTGGTTTGTCTGTCTGGGTAGCAGATGTGTAGTCCGGGGCAGCAGATGTGTAGGTCAGGGCATCAGATGTGTAGGCCGGTGCATCGGTTGTGTAGGCCGGTGCAGCAGATGTGTGGGCCGGGGCAGCAGATGTGTGGGCCGGGTCAGCAGGGGTATAGGAAAGAGGAAGAGCATTGTACGCAGGGACAGCAGACTTGAAGTCAGGTTGATGGGCCTGGGCAGTGGACTGGTAGGCAGGTACAGTTGCGTGATAAGCAGAGACAGCTGTCCCGTAGGCTGGAGCAGCAGGCTTAAAGGTGTGCTTGTAGGCCGGAGTGGTAGCCTTGTAGGACGGGAAAGTAGGCTGATATGCAGTGGTGACGGTTGGCTGATGGACGAGAGTAGCGGCCCTGTACGCGGGCTTGTAAACATTGGCAGCAGTCTTGTACGCCGTAGCAGCAGTCTTGTAGGCAGGAGCGGGGTGATACTCGGGGTACTGAGCCTCTCCCTCGTAGGTGACTTCAGCGTTGTAGCCGCCGTAGTTGTCGGCGACGTACTTGACGTGCTGGACACGGCCGTCGGGCAGAGCCACCGAGTAATATCCCTGGGTGTTGTGGCCATCGCTTTCTTCCTTCTTGACGAAGTTGGTGCCGGTATAGTGGTCGCTGACAGCGTAGTCGTAGGCGAACGGCTTGGCCTCCTCCTTGTAATGGGGCTCCGGATGGTACGACGGGGAGTCGGGAGCCGGGGCAGCGGCGGCGGCGGCGGCCAGGGCGGCGACGGCGACCAATACCTGGGAACGAAAATCTGGTCCGCTACACATACTGAAAAGCATTGCTGATCGGAACTGATATCAGGTCTTTAACTGTTTTCGACAAGTTTCTCTTAGCTATGTAGCTCCTAGAATTATGATTCATAAACTGAATCTGACATCGCATTAATCTTTTATGCACACAAATGCACATGAGATGACCACCATAGCGACCAATATCGTAGTTTTAGCTGAATCACTTGTACGGACCTTCATGCCACACATTTTGATGGCAGGGAATGCAGTGCAACTGATGCCTTCTCCACAATGCCTTCGCTTTTAAGCGCCAGCTCCAAATCGCTGATGGCCTTAGGTCACGGTCCGATCCCTCCACATACGACCGTTTGGCGATGGACCCCCAGCTGGGCTCTCACGGCCACTCCCTGTTGGTCACGTCCGTCTCCACACGCGGCGACCCTGCGGCCGCTGACCCGTCTCAGTTGCAGCAACCTCGGGCGCCTACCGCTCTCCCCAGATCCGTGACACCGAGCTAGAACGTCGCGCCCTGAGGTTTGAGAATGAATGTTGAAGATCGAAACGGCAGCTTACCGTAGAGATAATGACGGGGCTAGATTGACTGCAATGCAGAGTACGTCACATGTAATATCCGCAAGAAACGAAACTGAGTATCCGGGCGGTTCGTAATGTGCAAAAGGCAAGCTGCCAGGCACAACTGATGGTGCAAGATAGAAAGAGCATGTAAAAGCATGAGCAACGCACGTCAGGCACGATAGCGTATAGAAACACCAGTTCATTGACACAAACCTTCACTTCCTTAACAGTGGATGCCGAAGTACATGAAGAACCATCGAGCCGCAGACCAGCCATGGTGCGTATCGCAATTCCACCTTCCATGCAATTATCATAGCCATCGTCTGCTGTTGTTTCGATAAAGGCATGCTGCCGAAATATCAATCCATGCTTATCTCAATTCTCCTGTTCTTGTTTTCTTCGAGGAATAGGGCTATTACTACTGTCTTGTCTAGGTGGATTTTTTGCCTATGATATTTACAACAAAGAGTTTATAGCCGCATGACGGCATGCATTCCTATCTATGGCATCGTACTACTGTTACAGTGGTTTGCTCTTACTAGGAAAACTAAGCCTTTTTGTGTCAAATCCAAGTAGGAGACCACATCACAAAAATATACACGAGAAGACGAATGCTATGCTCTCCGATGCATTGAGAAGTTCATTTTTTTCCGGGTGAGAAAGATCATAAACATTATCACGAAATTTGAGCTTGAGCGGCTGGTATGATACGAGTCAGGAATTAGCAAAGCTTATGGAAATACGACGTAATGAAACGATTCATATTCAACCCGCAGCAACGGCGCTAATTCAGCAAGGGATAGTGGTTGTCGCTTCTACAGACAGATCTTAAGATCGCAACTTTCAGTATTATAATAGTTTCGCTTTTCGCGTCCCGGTGACATGAAAAAAACACTTGAGCCATGCCTTATGTCTTTCTGTAATGAATCTATGATTTGGACGTACGGTCGTCATTTTTCTTTCTGCTCCTTGTGTTCGCATCGCATCCATGGTAGACATTGATTTGGACATGGACTTAGACCGCATTGTTTACTGTAGATCGACAGCAAACTGTTCTTCGTGCGCCACATCTCTAGTCACCTACAAGGCTGTGTTGGCGATCTGCACGACTTGGCAAGATTAACCCTGGCTGTCCAGGCGCCATGTCAGGGATGAGTTGATTTAAGACGCGTCCGGATGGCCGTTTGGATATCCTTGCTTGGGTAGGGGTCAATTTGACCCCCTGAGATCTCAGGAACTGAGAGTGCTAGAGTCATCAACTTGACATGATGTGTTGGCCTGAGCGCGAGCTCACTTATGTTAAAGCTTGATGCTCCTGTGTCGTGACCCTCGTGACAAATAACGTTCAACAAAGTCAAACTCCAGGCTGGTTTCTCAAGTGCCCCAGAACCTAAGTACCTATTCTAGAAGAAAAGTCACATGCCTACTGAATGCCCGTGACTTTGTTTGACATTTTGAAGATCATGCTGACCAAACTGACCAAACCATGGAAGACTGCTTTGAATTTTACATTTGATTAAACGACAAAGATTACGCAATGCAGTATGCTCTGTAACAAAGATGTGGACTTGGGTTATTTTGGGTCAGTGACCTATTCTGACCTTTAAGAAGTGTATTGAATATTTCCAATGTCGTTTCTATTGTCAATCGATTCAAAATGAGCACTGGGAACTACATAACTCCCGTACAGCAAGCCCATGATGCTAAAACAGCTTGGTTTTGACCTTGGTTTGGACTTCACGCATGACCCTAGGTCGATTAATTTGCTCAATTTGGTCAATTTTTGTGTCGACTAAGAACAATTTCAGAGATTTATGCCTTCGTTTAACACTCCGTTGTTGCATCAGATTGAACGATTCCCCAGAAACTGACTTCGCTGAATCCAATTTGACCTGCCCTAGGTCAGCGGCCTTACAAGGTACATCTAAAGTTGTGATACGATGGCAAACGATCCGTTATTCAGTTGCCTGCAGCAATTCAAAATTTGGAACGGCCACGCCTCGCTTTTGGAAAGCATTCCGAGAACCCTTCGCGGAGTTAAGTGATGCCCACCCGAGCGCGCGTTAAACACTTCAAGACAACGAAGAAAATTGGGAGTTGTAGCGACTAGAAACGGAAACATCACACGAGTCTTCACGGGAGATGCCATTACTCCGTGACCATATTGAACATCGAGAGCCCATTTTCCACATAACTGGCAGCTTGATCACCTGGCAACACTGTAAACATACGGTACTTACTGAACACGGTCCGGAGGTTGCTCCAACAACAGACAAGTTCTCAGCCCTCAGACGGTTGTCGGCCAGAGGTGTTTGGTGAGACCATGTACTGCTGGCCACCTGTCAGGCAGTTTCAGCGTAATGACTTTACAAGGCACTTGTATTGATAACACAAACTTTCCTATCGGGACATGAAATGTTTTGAATTGCTCTACAATCAAACGGAGGCTTTAGGGAAGCGTGCAAAGATGAGACGCTCTAATCACCAGCAATCCATGACAGGTCGTTGCTAAAGGTCATTATAAAGCAGCATGTGGTCCTTGTCTTCAGTTTATGCGCACGCTTCTCATTATCAGATCAGAGACAATTCCTGGTCGAAGGCGTAGAATTGCCTCCGTTAAGTCGGCACGACACGAAAGAATGTTGTTTATTGAGGTAACGCAGGACAAAAAACGAAAAGCATCATAACGCGAGCACGCATAAGTTTGAATAACCAGCCGTTCTCACCCTGCGACTAGTATGCCACAGGCTTGTGTGCCGGTGCGGGTTGGCTGTAGGTAGGCTTGTTGATAGGCTTATAAGCCGGAGCGGCAGCCTTGTAGGCAGGGGCGGGATGGTACTCGGGGTACTGGGCCTCTCCCTCGTAGGTGACCTCAGCGTTGTAGCCGCCGTAGTTGTCGGCGACGTACTTGACGTGCTGGACACGGCCGTCGGGCAGAGCCACCGAGTAATATCCTTGGGTGCTGTAGCCATCGCTCTTATCCTTCTTGGCGAAGTTGGCTCCGGAGTAGTGGTCGTTGACGGCGTAGTCGTAAGCGAAAGGTTTGGCCTCCCCATTGTACTGGGGCTCCGGGTGGTAAGGGGCCGGCTTGTAGACCGGGGCGGGCCTGTACTCCGGTGTATCCTGGGCTGGGGCGGCAGCTGCAACAGCCAGCACGGCGGCAACGACGAGGACCTGCAATGCCATAGAGGATATGTTATTAACGACTCGCTCATTCCAACATCTTTGTTATTTTTCCGACCACCATGGATTTGCCGGAAAATCTCTTCCATCCGACAGATTGCTACATCAACAATATAGTTCAACCACATACCTGCATGTTGTGTTTTGGCGGCCGAGTGTGCAATGAAACTGGTGCCTGCTTCTGCAGTACTTTCGCTTTTATATGTCGGCTGCCAACCACCGACGAAGGCCACGGTCACCTCACTGAACAGACTGCCCCCCCAGCACGATATCATCCGCTGGACTGGTGTCAACGTGGATTGGCACAGATCCGTAGCCACTCTTTAATGCACGCTCCACTCCTTTCATGCGTTGCGAAGTACAAGGGACTGCTGTTAATAGCACAATTGCATTACTTAGTAAAGGTGCCCTTCTATACGTCATCGTTTGATTGCGTCATTGACCGTTCTTAAGTTATCAGAGTGTCGACCAGAGTGGCTACGTTAGAGTTGCCACTGAAGTGGAGAGTGACTCACCTGTCTGCTTCGACGCACTGTAAAGTTGGCGTCGTTGTGTGTGTATTAGCCTTTTTTTCGCGTTGTTCTTGCATTTTCTTAAGTGATTGATAATCTTACCATATATAAATGCCTTTGGAATTTACCACCAAACACGGCTCGTGATCGAGGCATGCAATCTGCGGCGCAATCTGGCTGTTTGCCAACTGTCTTATGACGTGATACGTTCATCACAAAAGTCGGATTCCGCCGAATGGTGCACCACCACCTGTGACTCAATGAACGTTATGGGGCTAGGTAGGTGGAAAGGCACCCTACAAATTGAAAATGTTATCCGCCTTATCCAGGTACGTGGGAGGCAAATTTTTTTTCCGCGCAGAGCACTGTTTATCTGGTAACAAATGTTATGAGCCTATGCATGCAAAAAGCATACGCACCTTCTTCCACTATGTACTTACCTTGCCGACAATGTATCTGACACACCTAGCGCAGACAATATTAGATGCAGCAGATAACAGACTAGCCACGCCCCCACTCCCTCGCACCACCGGCGGCGTCACGACCACGGGACACCAGGCCGTGTAAGTTCGAAGTGCATTGTCAAAGCTTCCTGCTTGAGGTTGTCACGCACTTCATCAAGGTTTTCGTTGAATTCTTCACTATCGGCTCACTGGTTAGACATGTCTGCCACTAAGTATATTTCTTATTGGTATGAAGGCTCAGTTGGTTAGTACGCCACATTCCGATTCACCCACCTGTCGCAGGGTGGGATGGAGTCGCTTTAGGCGCTCGCCATCTGCCCTCAACAGGTAGAGCCTGCGGCCGGTGGCAGCGGTCGCGCTTAAGGTCAGTTGTCGTCAGAGGGCAGGCCGGACCATGCCGACCATTGCGGCGCGTTAAACTCTCGCCACCTAATTCTGCCGTTGCCGGGAATTGCGCAATCGTATGGTAGGGGGTCAGGGCTCACACAACAAGTGCTACATAGCGCGGGCTCTGATGCCAGATATCTATCAACTCAGAGAGTTCGGATCAAGTTTTAAACAGGCAGCTCCATGTTCGTGCCGTCTCCTTGCGTATTAGGCTCGTCTGTTAGTCTTCAATTTCCATGGTATTGCATTTTAATTGCTTGCCGTCTATGCTTGCAAAGCCCGTTGTCATGTTTTCCAAAAAAATTATACGTTACTGGCATACTGGTCATACGCACCTTCTTAAAAATGGCTTGTTGACTATCTGCATGACTGTTCTAAAAATGGCTTGGTGACTATCCGCACGACTGATTCTAGTTTCCGTTTGCCTCTCATCATTACCTCCGGGGCCTGGCGGCCAGTCGCGCATGCGCAACAGAGTCCTAGCATCAGTGATCTCACGCCAACATCAAGCGAAAATCAGGCGAGAATCACCAGGCGATTTCACCTTGTTCTTGTTCCGCCATTGTTCCGGTGCAAATATGTCATAAGTTGGTTGTCATATTTGTTTCCATCTTCTTCTTATCTTTTCCAGCAGAGGCATTTCCATTAACACCCTTTTAAAACGCTCCCTTGCCTGATATCGCGGCTCACTTACGAACTTTTCAAAAGAAGATCATGATACCAGTTAGCGTACCAGCTCCGAGGAATTCGTTTTGTTACGTCACATGTCAATAGGGCCATGGCATGTCATAGCCTGAACTAATCTAGAACCCGCTCAGAATTTGTTATCAACTTCTTCATGATCATGTTGTTTTCATGCCAACACATTCTAGCTGCATTTCATACTGATTTACTCATGAGACAGTAGTAATAGCCGTATCGCTCGTAGAAAAATCAGGAAAATAGGGAGGTTGGTGAGTTGACATTCGTTATTCGTCTATTTTTTAAACGCAGGCATGTTTCCGAAACACCAGCGCATCTATCTCTCCAGCCTCCTGTTTTCTTTTCTACGAGGAATAAAATGTCGTCTTATTTATACGCACCATGTACGCTCCAATTGCACTTAACAATCTACGTCATTTTGATTTCACTTTATTGGAAACATGTTTCACCTAAGGGCCAAAAACTTCGACACCATGGAATCCTTGGGCTTCGAAGGCTTTGAGATAAAGTCATTAAAAAAAAAACATTTCGTGAACACCACAACCGGATATTGCCGTGTAAAACCTTATTATGTGTCCGGCAACATCGTCGCATTTGAACATGGCGTATGCCGATATGCGTGGCGTCGATACGTTTAAGAAGGCCACGATTCATGGCTGTGAAAGTAAATTGAGAGCTGATTTACCTAACAAACACTTTTTTCGCTATGTTCGCTGATTCGCTATGAAGCGAATTAGATATCGTATGATGGGGCCCAAATGTGACTTGGGGGCGGCCAGAGCAGCTGTTAGTTGGGGATTTTAAAGGAAGTATAAATTGCTTCAACGCATCGTTCCGAATTGCTGACATGATTGTTCTGCGCTCAGCGCGTTGTGAAGAAAAATCGATACGAACCTTCTGCGTCATAAGCTAAATGTTCATTGCCATTTATCGTCCAGCTCACTCCCATAAGCCAGCCTCTTACCGGCCAGGGCCCCAGTACACGAAGGCCAAGCTGTTCGCTTACGACTACGCCGTCAACAACCATTACACCGGCACCAACTTCGCCAAGAAGGAGGAGAGCGATGGTCACAACACCCAGGGATATTACTCGGTGTCTCTGCCCGACGGCCGTGTCCAGCATGTCAAGTACGTCGCCGACAACTACGGTGGCTACAACGCTGAGGTCAGCTACGAGGGAGAGGCCCAGTACCCCGAGTATCACCCCGCTCCTGCCTACGAGGCTGCTGCCCCGACCTACAAGCCTGTCCACAAGCCTGTTTACGGCCATTCCACCCCAGCGCACAAGTCTGCGACGTACTAGTTACCGGGTTGGAGCGGGTGCCTATTTAAATATATCCGTATGTGTGTCATGATGCTTTTCGTTTCTTTCCACGCGTTACTTCAATCAAAAATGCGTGTTAAATGTGCGGGATGGACGGAGATAATTCTGGGCTTTTCACCTCCGGAGTATCTCTCATCTGGCTGTAATTAGCGACGTCTTCATAAACCGAAGCTATATACCACAATAATATCTATTATGACCAGCTAATGATGTCCTTGCAGGGATTCGTGGTGCTTACAGCGTTGCATCTTTGGAAGCTGTTTAAATTTTCTGGATGATTGCAATGGATTCAACATGTTTTTTCAGAAAACAATTTTGCTGTATTTATTACAAGGGGTGACCTGTGGAAGTATCACGCTGAAACTGCCTGACAGATGGTCTTACAGGTGGTCTTACAGGTGGACAGGTGGTCTCAGCACATGGTCTTTTTACACACCTCTGACCGGCGACCGTCTAAGGGCTGAGCAGATTTCCTCCCTGGTCGTTGGACGACGCCCAAAACGTGACAAGCGTGTACACTACGTATACAGAAGGGTGTTTTCATCGAGGGGGTGAATCGCTTGGAATCAGCTGAGGCAAAGTTTTTCTTTGGCACACGTATTAATGATAAGCTTCCAGGTCTGTCGCACCGCACCAATGTTGATATTCGTGAGGCGAGAGCAGTTTTTCTTTGATAAGCCAAGAAAACCGTGTTCCATACTAGCGCCACCTATTTTACGCACCGGGATCATCTTCCAACAATCCTCAAAGCTTTCACTTTCCACACTACTGGTAGTTGGTGGGTTCAGTATGAAATAGATGTCATGAAGAGCACCAGCAAAACATTGCTACACAGCTTTTAAACTGACTTTTAGAAAAGAACATTATTTTTGGTAAAACCCAAAGCTGTGCAGTTATGAGAATTCTCAAGTAGACCGGGTTATGTTCCAGTTTGTTTTCACTAGCGCATCATTGTTATGTCGATTCGCAGTTTATGTGCTTTTTGTGTGGGAGATATGGGTTTATTGGTTTAGTTTTGCTGGTACCGAAGTATTTCTTTCGAACAATTACTTGCATTAGCATGCCGAAGGCTACATGGTCACGCACAAAACATTTTGTGATAGGCCACCCAGCTCTAAAGTCTCACCACCAACTGCCGACTACAGGAAAGCATTGAGCTACCTCAGGTAGCTGAACGAATCGAAGAAGAATCTCAAGACCGCAACGGTGGACATCGGGGTACTGTGGACTAACGAAGCGATCCCTGTCCAT